TTTTACTGAGCCATCTCACCAGCCCCATGACCATACATTTGGGGAGAATTTTACAAAAATTAATTTAGTATTATTAAATAGGCATTATTATTTACCTATTTAGCAGAAACCAAAGTCAAAAGAAGGTACATAGTCCAACCAAATATATATTAAGTAAATAAAAAAACCTAACCTTGAATTTATAAAGTCTGGCTTTTGATCTGTAGTGTTTGCCACTATTCCCATTTATTTATTTATTTTTTAGTTTTTAATTTTTTTTTTTTTTTTTGGTGGAACCGGGGATTGAACTCAGGTCCTTGCACTTGCCAGGCAAGAGCTTATTCTGCTGAGCCATCTCCCCAGACCCTGTACTTTTTATAGCTTAATTTTAATAAACTGGTACAGTTGAGACGAGATGAAAATTTAAAAATTTCTATATAATCCTAATTGCATTATTTGATTTTGAAATTACTTAAATTTGACTTTTAAAAATGAAATTAATTTGTTATTGATGAATAATAGAAACTAATATATGTCTACTATAAATACAATTTATTACTTGAAATCAACTTCTATAAAAATATTAGAATGGAATAAATTATTAAAAACCTTTTAACCAGTTTCCTTAGAAAATCTGAACTAGAAATCAGAAGGTAATTAGTTGTGTGTTTTTGTTGTTTTTTTCTGTTTAACTAGTATTTGTTAAGTACTTGCACATGTCTTACTTTCTTAAGATAATCTTTGGGGAAAACTAAAGCATCAAAACATAGGATCAATACAAAAAAAAAGTGGTAATCATAGAGATGTCTGACTTAAGAGAGGCTTCTTGTATAACAACTCCATTAGATAAGTGCATGTATTTTATAATTTGAAGAAATATGCTGCTCTTCTCTTGGCTGCTGAATTACTTTGACACGATGGCTGCGCTAGATGTGAGTTGTCTCTATGGAAAAGATGTTTTCAAAAAGAACATGCAGTATGAACAGCACTTCATCGAGCAAAGTCTCACACTGACAGAATTTTAAGAGAAGAAATGGATGAGGATATTTAAATACATTCCTTTTCTTTCACACATTTCCAAATCAAGGTCTTGATAAGCGTTTTTGTGTATATGAGGAATAATGAAATTGGAGAATTCCCCAAAAGGAACATTATAATTTAGGATATTTATGATTTGGAATTTTATTTTACATTTGTAAAGTATGACTTAAAGGAAATACATTGATAAAATCATGCTTAGTTTACTCTTAACTGCTGACTATGTCACTGATAAAGTCTAAGGCATTCTAATTTTTGATTCCTCTGGTATTCGGGCTAATTAACATGCAGGTTTTTTTTTCTTAAAATGATTGCCATCCATGAGGTGAAGGTGCTATGAGAAGTATGATTTACTTGAGTGTGTAATTTAGGGATAATGTAATGAAGAACAGCTGAGAAGTCCCCAATTGGTGACAGTCAAGGGGAGAAGCCAAATTCTGCAGACCCTGAGCATCATTCTTCAGCCCAGGAATGCCCTGGTTCACTTACAGGATTGATAACTGTTACTTTGCACAAACTCTACTATTAAAAATTACTTTTCAATTTCTTGCATGTAGTCTAATTTAAAGATCTGTGCTTTAGTAAACAGATAAGAGAATAGGACTGGCAGAGTAAACATGATAAACTATATTTAGAGAAAATAAGTTAGTTTTTCTTTTTTTTTCTTTCTTTTTTTTTTGTCTTACTAGTGCTGTATCTTATAAAAGTGGCTGGAGAGATTTCACTAGGAAGCCGTCTTCAGCGTAAGCTCCATAACCTTATGTGTACTATGGTGTACATGATTCATTTTAGACAACTCTAAAGGTATTTACATAGAGAGACAAACAACAAAAAGACTCCCGATGACTAGTCAGTTACAAAAGATAGAGAATACGTGTTAAGAATTCTGGAAAGAAAAAATAATGCTTCCAACATATGTCCAAATGAAAGGCTATTGTGCGCACACCGAATGGCAAGCTTCACTGCACAATCAAACTGTTCCTCAAGGGGGTAACTCTAAATAGTCTACTTGGGATCAAAAGATGCAAAGCATTTATTTATTTAAGGATGATTAATTATTTACATTAATAAGCCACAGGGTGCTTTTGAACATAATAAAGTGCCTTGTGCTTATATCACTTAAATTAATTTCCTAGTAATCAGTTTTTGGTTTATTTAGTATTCCTTCAATTGAATGTAAGGAAATGAAGAAAAGGTAATTTTGAATTGGTTCCAGTTTCAATAGGCAGGAGGGCAGCAAAAGGCTGACTGCTTTAAAGATGAGTACTGCTGTATGATTTAGGGGGTAAAAGCCTTATCTGGCATTGTTATGGCAGCAGATCTTGGCATCATCCACACAGTGCTGGGATTAGGTACATGCATAATGCAAGACTTTTGAGGTTAAGAAGGCCTCCACCTAGATTGCTAAGGGCCTGGGAGGCCATGCAGTGAGCCTCTGGGGGGGGGCAGTGTGTGAAGCTGTGAGTGAGAAGCCTAAAGTGCAGTGGAGTCCCCAGAATATAGGAAAAGCCAGAAACATGGATCATATAAGAAAAGCTGCACGAAATCAGCAGGGCCCAAGAGCGAAGTCCTGGAAGCTACAGTAGTGGAAGTACCTTCAGGGTGGAGTCACACGAGCCACATGGAGTTCAGAATGTGACATATATTGCTAGGCTGTTGCATGTGGAACTACAAAACAGTGTTTGTCCTGCTTGATTTTTGGACTTTTCACCTAGTACCATAATTTTATTTGAGAATGAAGAAAAGTGTTAGAAATTAGGGGCCCCGTGATGTTGAGACAGGGTAGCAGACTCAGTCTCTCACAGTGGATGATTCCAGAAGAAGGCAAAAGTGCTCAAACACACAGTAGCACCACATCTTTAGCAATTTGCTGAAATTTTAAAGAGGGCTTAGACTTTCCTCTGTAGGAGGAGGATTGCAGGCTTTCTACTTGCATGTTGAAGGATAGTGGCTGGTGAGAACTATCTGAGTGACAGATGCTGTCATGGCTTGGGTCTAAGTGTCCTTGCAAAGCCTCATGCACTTTTCAGTGGTGGCTGGATGCAGGGTGTATGAAGATGCACGCAGGGTGTGTGACAGCTACGTTAGTCCACTGTTGGTTTAGCAAGGTTGTGGGTGGAATAACGGCAAAGCCAGCCTGGGTGTGCCTTGCACCAATCAACAGGCTTTTAGGCTGGTGGGATAAAACTCCACAAGGCTCATTGTTTGCTGCCTCCTGCCTGCTCTGCCACGAACTGTTTCTCTTCCACCATGCCGCCTTCCTTGGACGCAGCTGGCCACGCCCTGAACCCTCTCTCCTTTAGTTTGCAGGGTCAGACATTTTGGCCCAGCAATAAGAACAGTAACTAATACAGATGCTGGGAAATATAAAAATGAAATATGAAATTTTCAATTATCATTATATTATAACTCTCCATACAAAAACAAGGTTAAGTACAATAGTAAATACTGAAATCATGTATTCGACATATACAATGTGTGCATTTATTTAAGAGAACATTAGTATAAAGTGACAAATATGTTAAACCTTCAAATGCAATGTTCTAAATTTAAAGTATAAAAAATATAAACTAAATATTGTCATTAGGCCCAAAGCAATGTAACCTTTAAAAATTACTCAGCAATATCATCAGTAATATCATGGTATAAAGTGTATTTTACATCAACAACAATTTTTGTAATGAAGTAAGTTTAATTAATTTGAATTTCTCATTCATGGCAAGATATTATTTGTTATAGATGTGATAATCAATATACAAGACGCTTTTCAAATTGGCTTGGTGACACATGTCTGTACTACCTCTCAGAAACCTGAAACAGGAGGGTTTCTGAGATCAAGGCTGGCCTGGACTACATGGTGAGTTTAAGAGTAGGCCAGTGTGAACTACGTAGTAAGAGCATGCCTCAGAAAAGAAGACAGATACAGAAATCAACAGGCAGAGAGACAGACAGAAAGACAGAGACAGAGTGACAGAGTGACAGAGTGAGAGAGAGAGAATTTACAGAAATGCAAGCCATGCATCCACCTAAACAGAGGATATAGGGTTTTAATGTAAAACTACTGCCAAATTATTCTAAATAAAATGTAGATGACTCAGAATTATGGCTGATTTGTGTCCCTCAAAACTCACAGGCTGATGTCTTAATCCAATGGAGTTCTGAGCCTGACTATATAAAGAGAGCTTTAAGATGAGCCTTTGCTTGTGCTGACCATTGTCATTCCAGCCCTCTGGGAGATGAAGGCAGGGAGTGTACAACCCCAAGTCCAACGCAAGCAATTGAGCATCTCGAAAATGCAAAAGACCTGGGGATGTAGCTCAGTGTGAAAGACCTGGGTTCTATTCCACATACCACAAAACAAATAGAAAAAGATAAGAAGAACATCCCAGGGTGTAAATGTAGATAGGATCCAGTATGATAGGTAGAGAAAACAACTATTTACAAGCCAGAGCAAACAGTCCTTTTGGTCAGTTTGATCACAGACTTTTGGACTTTGATACATAAGAACTAAATACCTGTGGAGTAAGCAACAATGTTGCTCACATTATCTTCTATGGCAGCCACAGCAAATGAACAGTCAAGGTAGGGCCGCGTAGGTGGTAATAACGTAGGATGAACCCATAGGAAATGTTAATGCTTCACAGCTCTTTAAAATCGAACCTTTTGTCCTCATGGACATTTTAGCATGGGCAAATCAAATCAATGAAGGTCTTTTGGTTATGGACTGGTCCAGCTAGTGTGGTGAAATTCAATCACTGAGCCATAATCAAGATACTTTGTTGTGTTTATAACTGTATTGAGTGGGCATGATGCTTTAAAAATTTTCATTTGCTTTTTTTTGAGAGATTGAGAAATAATGAAAGTCAATAATGCAATTATTATGATTTCAATGATGCCAAATTAATGACTTTTTTAAATGAGTCAGTAACAGAGCATAAGCTTCATGCTTGGCTTTTGGAATATTCAGTGTTATGGCCTTTCATGGCAGACATTATTTGATCCTCACTACTCTTCCCAGGTGAAAAGAAAAAGGTCAGGTATTCAAACATTAATACATGATAAAGGCCTAGAAGATTCTTAAGACTCGTGTAGTCAGGGACCGTGTGCGTGAGCATCTTAGGCTGCGATACAATATCGATTTGAATGTGTTTCCAGCACTTTTGCCTCTTGAAACCTAGTAGAGCAGAATTCACAGCCCCTTCAAAATATAGGACAACTAAACTCATTAAATTAAAGGTCACATGTTCACATCTCAATGCTGTGCATATACATAAAGCTAAAAGGTCAGCCTTGCATATTTCAAGAGTGTGAATACAGCATTAGACAAATAGAAAATTAACTTGAAAACAGGCTGAAAGGGTAAAAGGGGGCAAGCAGGCCGAGGCTTTCAAAGCACAATGGGCCATTACAGTAAAATTATACATTGATTTGTTAAAGGAAACAGAGAATGTCAACCGGTCTTTCATGTAATCTTTTCCTTCAAAGCTATACAAAATGTTTGCAGAGACCTTTCAAATGTGATTTTGATAGAGTGTCCAGGCTCAGCTTCAATCACCCACTCACAGTTCAGAGAGTCTTTGTAGTACCCTGGCCATCCTGGGGAAAGAATCACCCCACTTGGAGCCGAGAAGTGGCCACCGCAGGGAGCTGAAAAATAAGATACAGAGAGCAAGTAAAAATAGACCTTTTAGCATTACTTCCAGCAATTATTTTTAGTATCAACTATAATTTGTAAATGAGTCTCTGCAGGTACTTATAAAATATCCGCTAATATTAATTTTGAAAGTAAAGGTGTATCTTTACTCCTGTTATAAATGACTATGTCCTTTAAAAGGGTAATTTATTTTTAAAAATATGATAGCTGCACTTAGCATGTCAGGTAATATAAATTGAGTGGTCTCAAGTCTCTGAATGATTTCTATTAAATATATTCTTGTGTCTCTTTTAAAAGATATAAATCATGATTTGGGAGTGGAGGAACATGTCTGAATTACCAATTTTTTGAGCGGCTCTGGTAGCCGGGACTCTGAGGTTGAGGTCAGCATGAGCAAGTTATGCAGCTGTTGTCTCTAAATAAATTAAAAAATATTTGGTATACTATATATTCCCTCAATAAAATTTAATTTTGTCTCCCAACAGCTTTCAAAAGTAGACATTTCAAGAGGGTTATTTAATCTTCCTATTTATGATAACTCATAATTATGCTTCCTATACAGATATTATGTATTTCAAAAATAAAATTATGTGCCTGAGAGTCACATAAATTTTTTTTTAATAGCTAAATATTTTAATAAGTGAGGGGTCTAAAATATGGAATATTCCTGACAAAAATCTTCAACATGTCATCAACTGATATTATTCTAGGAGAGAGTGCATTTAATCTAATATCATTAAATGAAGTAATTAGCCAATTATGAGTCAGAAAACAGGCATAATCCCAGCACACTGAGCGGCTGAACCAGAAAGATTGCAAGTTTAAGGCCAGCCCTGGTTTAAGGGCAACTTGGTGAGACTCTGTCTAAAAAATAAAAAAGTAAAGGACTGGGAGTTTGGCCCTCTGTGAAGGCCCTGGGTACAATCCCTAGAAAAATATATAAAATTAACAGGCAAGCAATTAGCCGTAAAAGACTAGAACAGACTGCAGTGTGAGGGCGGCACTGAAGAGACCCAGAGATGAACTAAAAACGCAGGTAACCGGAAGAAGGAAAAGGACATATAACTTGATTCAAAAAATTAATTTTAAAGAGACTCGTAGGTCAAACAACTTGCACTCATACGGAGCGCGAGGAGCCCAGCAGTCCGACGGGCTGCGCACGACCCGGGAGCCGCTATTTTGAGACGCTGCCCAAGAGCTGGGGGGCTCCGAGCGGTGCGGGGCCAGACCCCCGGCTTTGGGCCCTGGCTCGTCGCCCTGCTCCAGACAGGGGACGTTGCAGCCTGGCAGCGCTTTTGGCGGGCACACTCCCGGGTGAGTGACAGGGACCGGCCCCGCCCCCGAACGGCTGCCCCTCCTCAGGCTCAGCGCAAAAACAGAAGCCGAGCAGGAGGCCCCTTGGGTGCTGCAGCCCCAGCACCTCTGAGTCACTGCGAGGAGGAGAACACAGTTTATCTCCCAAGTCGGGACGCTCATTCAGCGCACGGAACTAATGCTCTTTCCATTTGAATCTGGACTTAGCACCAGGCTCCCGGGAGCCTGCACTGATCCCTCAGTGCCGGCCCCAAGCCCAGGCCCCGCAAAGTCCCTGCCTCTAACACTGGTACCCCAGGCAGCCAGAGTTAAGGGGTTCCAGCACCCTGGGCACGGCATCTCCACCTGCATCCAGCCAAAGCCCCAGACACTGCCCCTACCTAACATAACCGGCCAGTCCTCTGGAGGGTTAAGTGGCTCCTATTCTGCCTGGTACTCTAAAGACCCACGGGACAGCTTCTGCTACTCTGCACCCTTACTGGGCTTGTAGAAATCTTCCCAAACTAGCTCTGGACAGATTTGTTTCTTCTCTGAGAAACCAGGCCTCAGAGTCAGGGGTGAGAACCCACAGGGGGGCCACTATACCAGAAGCCCATCCTACAGAAACTGGAAAATCCGTGGGGTAACCAGTACTGATTCCCAGCAGGAACTAATCCACAAGAGGAGGCTCATAAACAAGGCTCCACACCTCTCCAGCCAGGTCTAGTTACCAGCTTGAACAGCTGCCACCAACAAGGATGTGGAGAGAGGCTCCCTTGAACGACACAAACTCAGAGACAATAAAGAGGGACAAAGAGGAACGACTGATAAGATTCAAGACTACTGACCTGGGAAGGAAACACTCACCTGGACATATGTATGCATTTCCTTACGCCTTTTCTTTCCCCATTATTGGTAATTTTTTTTATTGTTCACATCATTTTTCTTTTGGCAGAGGCTGGAGTTCACCCATTTTCTTGTTCCTCCCACTTTCATTGTACTTTTATTTGTTTGTTTGAATGCCCGCCTTTTATTCTCTCCCCATTCTTGTTTCCCTTTTCTCTTAGAACTAATTCCCTTAGTATCATTTACTTTCTTTTCCTTTAGTTTCATCTATATCTCCAATATTATTTAATCATCTACTAGATAGTCATCTCTGTTACTGTCATCAATGTTAATACCACTAACATCCATTTACTCTGTTTCAGGGGCTCCTATATCAATCTTACCATATTCTTCATATGTATCATATTTTTATTTGTTATTTCTTTTACCCTTTTTCCTTCATACTTTCCCTCTCATTGCACTTACTCTGAATCAATAGGCAGTTAATTACATCTTACAGTGGCTGAATACTATGTGAGAAGGGGAAAATTGTTCTACTGGGGGGGATATTTACTCTATATAATTCCTTAGTTTGTCTTACACTTTGACTATAACCATGAAATCTTGTAAGGCTAAGGGTGACAAAGCTTTCATTATTTTCTAGCTTGTGTCTGATACTATAGATATTACTGCTTGTACTAAGTCAGCCATGGCAAGAAAGCTGTTGTAATCACCTGTATCATCCTTGGAGGAATGTATACTTAGATTGTCTGGGGACAATGAACAGTATCAAGGCCCAGTGCAAAGTACCGGGTGCTAGGCCAATGAGTTACAACCATTTGTCCTTCACAAAAAGAATAATGACAAGTAAGAATATGAAACTATGTTCAATATATCATTGGTTATTCAAGGGATGCAAATTTAAAAAATGCTGAGATTCCATTTTACCCCAGAAAGAACAGCCATCATCAAGAAATCCACCAATAACAAAACAGAAATAATCACATAGGTGGTTAAAAAGTTGATGGCCATGATGAAAGAAATGATCAATGAATTTATAGTAGATACAGATTAAAAAAGAAGAAGAAGAGCTTAGGGAAATAATGAACGCCCAAAATAGGAAAGAACTGGATGATAAAAAGCGTACAAATATTGGTGATTAAAAGTTGCATTGAAAGCATATATAAGCGCTTGCCTGGCAAGCTCAAGGGCCTGAGTTCAATCCTCGTTTTCACAAAAAAGAAGAAGACGAAGAAGACGAAGAAGA